TGGCGGCACCACCTCCCAAACCATCCCTAACTAACACCCAGTAACCTCCTTGACTCCCTCACCCCAAATCCCACCTAGGTTCTGTCCAAATCTTGTTAGAGTCGTTCGAATTTCATATCGAAGGCAAACCCTAGAGGAACCAACTTTAGACTATGTACGAGGTTAAAGGTTTGAGGTCTTAACCGACTTTAGTCGAGTGTTCTCAGTCGAGAACACTCGATTAAGGTCCGTTTTGGCTTCAAAATTTCAAAACGAAGTGTCAATGAGAATGGGGTTCATTTGGGTTTCTGATTTTTGAGGTATTTCTCCTCTTTTCCTTTTTCTTCTTTGATTATTGTTTGTTATTTGCCTAATTAGGTTTCCTTGTTATGTTTGTCAATTAATCCTCCTCCTCTTTCTGACCTTTTTCTGGTCCAGTTTTTCTCGTCTTGGTCTATTGGCATATGTTGCATTGTTTAAGTATGTTTGTCTTTTTAGTTTGTTTGTAAGGGTCAGTGCCCATAGTGTTCTTGCACAAAAACTGTATCTAGTCTTGTAATTGGTTACTAGTATTACTATTTCAAAAGATCCCACTTTCTGTGATGTCTGATTCCTTGTTTGTTTTGTTGCTCATCATTTTACATATAAATTCAGTTATGTTCATCCAGTATGTGAAAGTATTTCATTCATTTTGTTTGATTTAGAATTGCGAACATAGTTAGTCATTCCCATGTATCTGTATCAATCATGGTCTGAAATTTGACCTTGGTAGTTCAATATGATTTTGTTAAAATGCATTGGTCTTTATTTTTATGCTATTTGATCTGACCTGAGTTCTAGTTTGAATTACTGATTGAATTAGATAAGTTGAATTGGTTATAGCTGATGGATTTGGTACAGATTGAAAGGGGTTGAGGTAGAATAATACACAGGGGTTAAGGGGGGAATTTGGGAATTGAAAAGTTTAAAAATGGCCAGTTTAAGTGTTATGTCCAGTAAGTACTAATTAACATTAAACTAATGCATTTGTTTAGTGCTAATGGGGAACAAGACATAATGGTAGGGGAAGGTTTAACGGAAGTGGATTAAGAAATAGGTGTCCATACCTATTTGAATTTAAATAAAGAAAAGACAAGGGTAGTGGGGAACAAGTGAATTAAAAAGAGAACAAAACATGTAGTAGTGGAGGAGGAATATCATGGGCAGAAATACTTTCTTAATTAGCTTAATGCTCCTAAGAGCTGAAAAGTGAATAAAGTTCGGCTATAAATAAGAGGAGCTTTAGACAGTGTGAGGGGGTTCTTTTTTTTTAGTCTTTGAGAGAGTTTCCCTTCTTGAATAATTTTTCTGAGAACTGGAACTCATAGAGAGATTTGAGGATCAGTTGTCCTGAGAGCTTTTAAAAACATAATTCTTCTACACTTTAGAACCTTAAGAGAGCTTGAGAGAGTGTTTTAGACAATCAGCTCACACTGTTGCATTGATTGCAAGAGCAGAAATAGTTCAAATCTCTCTGTTCATGTTCTGTACTTGGGTGTTCAGGACACTTTAAGGAATTTGGTGATTTATTTGAGGGTTGCTGGGTATTATTTGATTGTTGAAAAGTGTTCTATGACTGTCTAGTCTAATTTCTAGTAGATTTAGTATTTTGGTTAAGCTTCTTTCTTCCTGGGCTTTACGACTGTGGTTTGGTCTTGAGCTTGGCCCTGTTTGTTGTTGTTGACTGTCAACCTGTTGGTGTTATTATTTGTTGTTGCTACTGTTGTATTGCTATGGCTAATCTCTTCTTCTTCCATTGTAACTGATTTCCAGGTATGCAACTGTAACTTTGGCATTTGTAAGCTGAAAACATGGAGTTTGAATATACGTGAAGAGTTGAAATTTTGTTTTGGTTTCTATATGACTGATGTATTTAAAATACTCAGTCACTGCTGTTAGTATATAGGTCCCTGTTAGTATGTAGTAAGTGGACTTAAATGGAGTTGTATGAGATTTTTTTTTAATATAGTTCATACTGAAACATGCTAGCATCTGGTAACTGATTTCTGTAGTTAAAAATGAGCTTGTTGGGCTGTTAAATTAATTGGGACTGTGACTGTTAGATTACTGGATCATTGGATTCTGTTCGACTAAGTTTGAATGTCAGTTTTTATTCCAATGGTTAATTCTGGAAAGTACCACATCAATTGAAAGGAAAAGGAAAAAGTAGAATATAAATAGTATTGGAATTCGGTTAAAGCGTCGATTGTAGGCATTAGCTAGTTAGTTTAGTGTGTGTGTTCAGTTTAAACACTTAAAGCTAGAAATAACTGGAGTTAGCATTCTACTTTGGAACATGTGATATTGTGCTTGAATTAAGGGTCGTTGTTCAAATTGGTAATAGCAGTCATGTAAATGTCGAACTAGATGTTAGAATGGCAGTGGCATAAGACGTAGGCTGGTCCGTTAGTTAAAAACAGAGTTGGGGTATCAATTGCACGTTTTGGAAATATAAAATCATTTTGCGAGTTGTTCACCTGCTTTCAGCGCATTATTAATTCGTTTTAATTACAATAGGTAATGAATTAGTGAATTGGTATTAAACTAGTGGCATAGAAACTTCATTCAGGATCGTTTAAGTTAATATGAGCAATCTGGGCCATACCGTGGCCCAATTGTACGGATCATTCGAGTTTGGTAACAAGCCCACCCCCCTTAGGCCTCTGACATGCTTGCTAGCCCGATGCTTTGATCAAAGGCCCCAAAATTGGGCATTTTAAACACGCATTTTTTTTTAATATAGTAGTTCATAAACCAACTAAGTTTTTTTTATTATTAGAGACAATGATATTAAATAGAAAATCATAGTCGCTTTAGGATCGTCCTTTTAAATAAACGAGATGAGCCTCGCCAAATAAAATGCACAGATTGCGGGGCCCTTACAAATGTATGTATTAATTACTTAGAACTCGGGATCGACCGCTTAGCGAACTTCACGGCCATTTCCCAAAATAACCTCGCGTTAGTCTCTTTAGGCGCGTACTTTAAATAACATTACTTTCTTAAACTCAGGTGCACATTTATGTGACCCAAATCCAAATCTCAACAGAGTTGAAATGCGTCAATAACCACGAGTGCATTGATGTGACGTGGTTCGAGATGTATTTTCACGACGTTGCAATTCTCGTTAAAAATAATAATAATAATAATAATAATAATAAAAGCGGTAAACAGTTAAAATTTGCACATAGGTTCAACATGTATTAAAATCAGATAAATAAGCTGAATATGACAGTTGAGCGACCGTGCTAGAATCACGGAACTCGGAAATGCCTAACACCTTCTCCCGGGTTAACAGAATTCCTTACGCAGATTTCTGGTTCGCGGATTGTAATACAGAGTCAATTTTTTCCTCGATTCGGGATTCAACCGGTGACTTGGGACACCATAAATCTCCTAAGTGGTGACTCTGAATTAAATAATAAATCCCGTTTCGATTGTTCTTTAATTGGAAAAACTCCCCCTACGCCCCTGCGGGCACGGGTGAAAAAGGAGGTGTGACAGAACTAATCATCTCGATCCCATAAAACACGGATAACGAAGCGTAAAGAAGCTGAAATGTGAGAAATGGAGCGGTAACTCATGAGACGACTGGCCGGGTCGTCATAAGTGCATATGACATATTTTAGATCCGTAGTAATTCTAACTGAAATTATATTCCAAAATAATAAATTTTTAGTGATATTCAAATTCTTAGCATCTCCAATATGAGGCCAATTTCACCTTCTATATAGTTTTTAGCCATGCATACTATTAATTGTACTTTGTTATATCTTTCTATATGAAATTTGATTGCTTTTTCGTAAAATAGATTGTCTGATGAAATTTGTCTCATAAATTACTTCTTATTAATTGTACTTGTTATATCTGTAATTTCTATCAATTTAATTACTTTTTTCGGAAAAAAATTTATCTCGTGAAATTTATGTAAGTTTTTCTCAAAACGATAAATTACAAGTTTACAAAAAATAGACATGCTAAACACGAATATTTCTCACGTAATATACAAATACGTTTATATTATAACTTATAAAATACTACGAGAATATTATTTAATTGATAATTAGGACTTGACTTGATAGTTGCATAGAAAATCACAAAAACTTTTGGCACTACAAAATTTTTGAAGATGTTTATTGTCACAAAACTATCAAAACAATCTAAAGGTTAGAAAGTTTACCTCAAAAACTCTTTTTCATTTTTTAACTACAGAAAACTTGACCTTTTTATCTATCTATATCTATCAATCAATATCATCAATCAATACTACATTAAAAGCACGAAGGCCCTTAGCAAAATGACATTCGCCATTTTTACCCTCTATAAGCATACTTTATAATGGATAAAATTGTAAATACAAATAAAATTACTTTAAAAATATATATATTATTTAATATAAATGGGTCTCCTATTTGTTATCTTATTCTTTTTCCATATTTAACCTACGAAATTAATTGGTCTTCTAATTGTTGTCTTATTGTTTTTACTCTTTTACCTACGAATTTTTTAACTTTACAATCTTTTTTAGATTATTAGGTATACTAATTAAAGAAGAAGGTTCCTACTTCTACTCTTTTTCTTAACTAGTATACTTACCCGCGCGATGCGNATATATTGCAAACTATATTTATTGACTGCATTAAAAACACATTAAGCGAAAAAAATAGGTGAATTCTATCGGGCTATGTCTATGTATTTGTTTTTAGCGACCACCAATCCCCAAGAGCTATTTTAACATACTTGAGGAAAGATACATCAATATTTGGCTTTAAAAGGATTAGTCCACATGATAATGCATAAACTTTTGACTCAAGTACAAACATAAAGGACATCACATTTGGTTCAAATCTTATTTCATATGGGTGCACCAAGTTTCACAAAATACTATTTTAAGTAGCTCCAATAGAGACGACATAGTGGCTTTAATTTTGATAAATTTCCATCCTTCAAAGTAGGTGCACACGCAACAAATAGAACATGTGGAATAGCAAATATGATGGCTAAAAATGGCTTGGAAAAACTATCCCTCGAGATATTGCACCTCTAGTCAATGGTTTAACGCAAAAATAAAAATACCAAAACTAAATACATAATGACAAAGGTAATTACTTTCGCTGATATCAAAATAACTATATTTGATACACAGGTAATTACTTTTGGTGGGGATAATATTGGGGCTTAAGTATGATTCAAGACCAAATGACAGTACTATTCTAAGAAATTTCCCAGTAGCTGTGAAGATACCTTAGATGTGTGGTGTTCTTCAAGACCTATAAACAATCAAATAAAACATCAAGATTTGTGTACATTCTATAAGGAAAGAAGTCACAATGAATAATAGTTTAGTGTTCACCTTCTTTGTGTTCGCTGATGAAACGAAGCAACTTGATAGATAGATGAAGTATTTATCTTACTTAATTCATCTGTCAAATTTAGCTGAATCCTTTTACTAATGTGCTACTATATATGCAGCTTCGTTGCTTCATGGTATTAATGATGGAGTATCAACAAAGAGCAGTATAGAGAAATCAGTTGATCCGAGCAACAGAGAAAGATCAGGTGGATGACGCAGCTAATAAGAATTTGCAGAATTTTTTGAGTTCATCCTTTGCAATATTGTAGTCGTTGGCAGCTATGATATTGGGCTCTGAAGACCACCCAGAAAGTGTTGTGTTATAGCTACCTGTATCTTTAGATTGCGGACTGCTTATTAATTATTAGAAAAGTTCCTTCTCCTCCTCTTTCGGATCATCAACTTGAAGAGGCGAATGTGATACTGTTGAAAGCTCAGAAACAGAGTGAATCTCATATGATTGTCCTTCTATATAGCTCTCATCACCTTCTTTTACCTTTCTTATCTGATATAATTGTAAAAGTATAAGGATTAACTGATGTTATAAGCAACTACTTAATAAAAACCTTTCGTAATTAAAATCATATGCGGAGTAGAAAACTATAATGTAAGGAGAAGCATTATCCCTCATTAAGAGAAAGCATCCATTAGATTAGATGCAACAGAGGAAAAACCATTTTGTTACGGGGGAATAGGAGTCAAGGAACTTAGGACACAATCTTTACTCTTGCAGAACTCAATATGGAAGTTGGGGCTTTGTGGAGGAACGTTACTGTTACAAAAATAAGGTCTTCTTAACTCATATTTTGCAATCACAATTCCATATCTTTTTTGGTATCTGGAACATATGAGAGCACAAATGAGTTCCTTTCAACTCAATACTTCTGTGGCAATCCGAAATGGTACAAAAGCAAGATTTTGGATCGGCCCATGGCCGGGCCATTCGCCTTCAAAGGATTAGGATCCAACTTTTTTAGACTATGAGGCCGTAGTTTCAGATAAAAGTTCAGAATAGGGTAGGAATATCATATTAAATGATTAGAAAATAGACAGTGTTTGCTTACCCCTACAGCAACTGCATAACTCCCCATCCTTATTCTCTATGGGACTCCAGAGCAAGCTATCATCTACATTTTTTTACAGCATTTGTTGCACCTAATCTTCAATATACTACTTTTAACAATTAAAAAGAAATAAAAGCACATATACTGAATCGCGAAGTAGAGACATAGAGAATAACACATTTTCTTCACTCAATTCAATGCCGCAAAACGTAATATTCAGAAATTAAATATAGAAAATGGAGAAATGGACCTTTGAGAAACTGGGCTTGGGATTTTCTTGAAGGACCACCACCATTAAACAACATCACTGCACCTGGCAAAATAAGGTTTGTGAATGGAAAAGACGGCGCGAATTAAAATTAGGATTTTAATTATGTTTTAGAAAAAAAGAGGGAAAAATCTAGCTATATTATAATGAGGATTTGATATCATAAGTACACACAAAGTAGATATCCAATCACCTCTGAAAGCTCATATTGAACATCATCTCCAGTAATAATGCCAAATTTGAAGTAGTGGCTTAAGCAGTCGAACAGTTGATTTGGAGTTGCAATTTGAATCTCAGATTCCAACAACATAGCATGTGCTACAAATTCAGCATACTGCTCTCCAGCTTGAAAAATAAAGTTATGATGCATCTCCCAGCTCCTTTTTGGCTTCAGCAATTGCAAATTGGTCTTGTTTATTATAAAACCGAATTTAGAATCAGAATCGCGCTAGGACCCTTTTGCTAGAAAGAACAACACATCTGCGACCATACTGAAATTCAGAAGCTGAAATTTAACCTCCAGTGACAATCCCCTCTTTCAAATCGACATTACAAAACTAAAAAAAATGCAGAAAATAAGAAAACGAAAACAAATTGCATTTGCTTAGTTGTTCCAAATAGAATGTTGTAAAATTCAGCTTATAATCTGTTACAATTAACATAACTGAATAGGAAAGGGAAAGATAGACGACTTACTGGAAAAAAACTCACTATGCTCAATGACTGTCGTTGTGCTAGTTTATCCAAGAGAGACAGGTAATGGTGATGGAATGAAGACACGCTCTCAAGACCGATAAAATCAAGTATGAAGCCACTGCTCGAAGCTGGACTCAAAAGTATGCCATGGGTTAGTTACTAAAACACAAATATTTGGTTTTTATCTATGACGTATTAAGAAATTGTATTTGTTATGCATAATTAACTCAAGGGGAAAGGTTGAATTGTAGCCCTCTGTGGAACACTTAATTTGTCTTATATTTGTAAGATTAAATGGTTTTGAAATTTTGTTGGATGGGTTCTAAGTGGTATGCATTTTAACCATTGGTATCTGCACAAGTCATCTCTCATATATGTGAAGCAGTTCAAAGCCTTAAAACTTGAATATGTTTCTGGTTATTCTCCACACACACACACACAAATACAAAAAGAAATGCACTTCTCCAACTGGAAGTAACATGATGGTCGACAGGCCTCCAAGTTACTCCCTTCGTTCCAATGCATCTGCTATGAGAACCAATAATAAAGCTGATTAATTTGTAAAAAATGGATGCTTATCACACCAACTATATTTCAAACCAAAAAATGAGTAGACCGATAGCAGAATGCTGAAACATCCATAAGTTTATTTAATCCAATTACATTTGATGAAATTTCACAATGTCCAGTTGATGAATTACCATATTAAAACTAAATTCATATATGAAATTCACTGCTTCTTCAAAAATGCGATGTAAGAAGTCTGTTAATCTATCTTATGGCAAATCATGACAGATCTGTATTTGCAATATTTTTTGAAATGTTAATTTATATATAGAATAGAGAAATAGAGAAAGATATAAAAAAGAACAGAAAAGTAAAGCGTACCTATTACATGTTTCATATATCTTGTCAACAGCTATTGTCGCACTTGGTTAATGAATCTCAGCAACAAAAGTAGTACTTAAACCTCAAAAAAGATATTGATTATCTTTCGAGTGTCATACTAAATTTCGAAAATCTTCTTTAAATACAACATTTGTAGCTTCAGTAGTTATTTTCCCATCGTCATCACAAACCAAAATTTTTAATCCCTTTCTGCTCGTCACTCGAGAAAGAGCAACATATAGTTGTCCATGTGTAAAAACTGGTTTCTTTAAAAATAATCTCACGTGAGACAATGACTGTCCTTGACTTTTGTTGATTGTCATGGCAAAAGATACAATGATTGAAAATTGTCTTCGCTGGAACTTAAATGGAATTCTAGCATCAGATGGAGTCAATGTCATTCTTGGAATAAACACTTTTTTTACAACCATCTGTCCTGCTAAAACCTTGGCTTCAATAACTTGATTTCCAAGTTTAGTTATGATTAACCTTGTTCCATTACATAATCCTGCTGACTGATCAATATTTCTTAATAACATTACTGGAATACCAACCTTTAGAGTAACAGCATGATTTGGAACTCCAGGACATTTAATTGTATTTAAGATTTCAGGAGTGTGTACATGTTCTATTGCTGAATAAGTATTGTCAGAGTTGCAGATTGTATCGGAACTCAAATATGATTTCTCAGAACTTTGGTTAAGGGAAATCATATATTCGTTGATTGATTCCACCATATCAAGAGTTGGAATAAGAATGGCTCTTTGCTGGAGGTATTCTATATCATTGCAACGACTGTTGAAATCCGGATACGTACATTCTACAATTGCAGATGTTGGAAGAACTGATTGTTTTATCAAAAGATCATCTGATATTTTGACTTTTTCATTGCCATCAACAGAAGTACCAACTATATCATCGCCAATTGCCAAAATCCAATCTAAAAAACTCTCAACTCATCTAGATGTGTCCCTATTTCATTACCTTGCAATTTCATATTCTTTGTTAACTTTACGAGTTGACAGTGAGGCCACAAATAAGAAGAATTGAGAAAAGCATTAACAATATCTTTCCTACTACCTTTTGGAATGACAGGTAATATTTGTGTGAAGTCACCACCAAGAACAATTGTTTTACCTCCAAATGGTCGGTGTAAATTGGATGCATCTTTAAACCTAAGAATATCTCTTAAAGTTTTATCAAGAGCTTCAAAACAATATCTATGCATCATGGGTGCCTCATCCCAAATAATCAACTTTGCCTTAATAATTAAATTTGCTAAAGGAGTACCTTGCTTGATATTACATGTTGAATCTTTAGTTACATTTAGAGGAATCACAAATCTTGAATGAGTTGTTTTACCACCTGGTAACAACAAAGATGCAATCCCGCTAGATGCAATAGTTAACACAATATCTCCTCTAGATCTTATGGCAGAAGATAGAGTTCTCCAAATAAAAGTCTTGCCTGACGATTTTTCAATTCTTCATCAGTTAGGTCACCTTCTGAAATAACATTAAAATATAAAATAATTAAATACAATTAAATGGTAAAGTTTAGTTTAGCCACATGAAATTAATAATAAGATTAATGAAAAAGTATAGTGTTCAATAGTAGTTTACATTAATTTTAAACACATTAACGTACATAGAATTTGAAGGAATAATATAGTTCAAACCATGTGGTTCATTTTATTTTTAAAAATTACTAATAATGTGAAGATGCATTTATTATTCGTAATGTATCAAAAAATCAGTTTTGCTATAAAAAAATGAATTGAAATATTTTCAATTAAAGTAGAGAATGCATAATAGCGATTATAGGCTTTTCCGAAGTTTTAGGGCATTAAATACAATGCATTAATTTTCTATTAGTATTTATGTCTGAAAAATACATTAATTAGTACCAATATTATTCATATGATGTAAACACAACACTATATTAAAAAGACATGAACATAACAAAATATTGTTTAACGAACCTTAAGTTGTGGAGTGAATTTTGTATGAAGTTGAAAAACCAAAAAGAAGAAAGAAATGAACAATCAGATTAATATGAATGAAGTAATTAAAAAGAAAATTAACTAATAAAGTTAAGCAAATACGCCATCCTTCATAAGTATCATATCATAACTCGAAATTTTAAGCATTAAATAAGTACCTGGGTGATCCAATATTCTTCTTTCTTCATGAAGGATATCTTCTGGTAGTAAATGCCATGTTGCTTGCCAAACACTTTCTGGACGTGACATTGAATTTGATAAAAGTAGCATAGCAAATAATTGCCTAAGATATGATGCCATTCCCCCCAATTACTTGCTTCCATTATAGCATCCACGTATTCCTTATCATCATCTAATAAACTCAGAGCATAACATGCATCTCTAAAAGTCTCATGATCACAACTGTTGATTTTTTTTTAAATCCTCATAGCTCTTTGGACCTTTAATGACATTCAACAACAATCTAAGATAATATTGATCGCCAGAGCCAGGTGGAACAAAGAATATTCTCCCAATAGAAAATGCAGAAGTTCTTCTTTTTTTCCATCTTTTTAGGTTTTGATTCCACACAAACTTTAGAGGGAATTCTGCATAAGTCAATTCTCTTGCTTCAGGAAATGTCTTATTAGCTTCAAATCAGCTTAAAAACATAGATTCTTTAACGGTTGGTCTATTGACAACTGCATCAATTGGATCATCATCCGAAAATATGACCGTCTTATTATTTGGTAGGTGAAAAGATAGCCTTTCTACCGATGGTTCTCTATGGTGTATTGGGAATTTAAAAATTCTCCAAGCAGCTTCACAAGGTAATATGTATTGGCAATCACAATACATATTTATTTCATCAATGACCCCCGATTCTTCATTATTTACACTTTGAGAAAAAGCTGTCGTGACACGATTATTACCTTTATGAACATACTTAAATAAGTATTTAATGGATCGTGATTGATTACACCACTCCACGTTAATGTGTGCACCATATTTCAATAATAAAAATCTATTGTGTGGTACAACATACCTATTATCCAACTCAATACCTACTCTCTTTGCAGTTCTACCATCATCCCTTCTTCTATAAATTGGATACCCATCTTCATCAATTGTGTTTGATGATACAAACCGTCTCATATTCACCACTTGTCTATCGTTTCAAGCTTCCAAAACAAGCAGAAAAACACGTTGTCGGTTCAGCAGCTCGAAGTAAATTTTTTGGGAAAGTGCTTTGTGCATCTACCATTTTGCATGAAAAAAGAAGATTTTCTAGCAGTACCACAAGGACCATGCATCATGAAATTTGTAACAACATTATAATAATAAGGATCTACTTTTTTATCTGGTAATTCTGCTGAAATTATTCCATCAATATCTCTGACATTTGGGTATTTATTCAGAAGAAAAAGCAAGTTGTGTACATGAGGCAAGCCCCGCTTTTGGAATTCAACTGTATAAATCACTGAAGAATAAAGATGTAATTAGATTATTAAGTTTATATATTAGTTATTTTTAATATTAGCATATAAGAAAATTAATGTGCAAACATAATAATTTTGTAGAACATAAAAATTGTACATGCTTTTACTTCTCCAAAAACTTTATTGTCGCGTAGATCCTTTATCATGCGATCCAGCTTGATTGTGAAAACCCTTGTTAAAATGTCAAGACGATCTTCTGGAGATAATCCCCTACTCTCCACAAATCTAATAATCTCTGGCCATTTTGGGTTGCAAGTAAATGTGATGAACAGATCAGGGTACCCCGCCCATTTGCAAATTGCCATGGCATCTTGATAATTTTGCAACATGTAACGTGCACCTCCCGTAAAGCTGGAAGAGAGTATAACTCTGTGTCCTTGAGAAGAAAGTTCTATGTCCCCATGTAAAACAGCATCTTGTAACCCTTTATAAAAGTGTGCTCTCAATTGTTTTTGATGAAGCCTAATGAACCTCAATCGAGAAGATTCCATCATTGTATAACCATCTACCAAGAACTGTTGAAATAATCTTCTAGCTGACACAATTGAAGGAACTTCATCCTTCCTTTCTTGAATTTTATATGATAAGTACTCAAGCGTGCTAACACATTTCCTTCCACCGGCTGAATCATCAATATCATTTAAAGGAATATCTTCTCGGTATCCGTCTTCACCATACGTAAATAGTAATGGATATTGCAAACCTAAGTATGCTGCATTTAATTCATTTATCCTTTGTAGTTGTCCAAATTGGCTTTCAACTATGATATCTCTATCAGACCTTGTTTGTTCAAAATCTCCAACAATCAAAACAGCTACCTCTGAAACTGTTGGTAAATTGTATCTTCTTCCATCAGAGCCTATTTTCCCAATCAATCTAAGTCTAACATTTGAGGTCCCATCTGTTTGAAATTGATCTCTTACCATTCTAAATGACTTTGCAAGAACATTGTTTTCATCAAATATTTGCTTCAACTCATTCACAATTTTAGTATGAAGTTGATTGTTCATTTCGCCACGGCTGTAAATAAAAATATTGAATTCAACTAACAATTTACGTCTTATAAAAAATATATTTTTAAAATATTTTGAGTAAGCAATTGTCTATGCTAACCTGATAGCATGAATTCTATTTTCCACCTCATTTTCTGTATCATAG